AGGGCTGCTGCTAGGGCTGTTTTTCCCTGCCAAGGACCTGGACAATAAGTATACCTGTCCCCTGACTGTCACATGGCTCTTTCCAAAAGTGTCTTCAGCCTGGTCCCGGTATGGCACCAGCAGCCTCTTGGGAAGAGGCCCAAGGCCTCACTTTGTCCTATCACCATTCCCAGGGGTTCTTCCAGCACCTACCTCAACCTCTGGGCAGTCCAGGGACCTCAGTGCCACCCCAACACCAGCCACCACCAGTCTGCCATGCCTCCATGCACTGAATTGTCTTGCTGAACATTCAACCTCCTGGAGCCAAGTTCTCAGCTCCAAATCTATTTTCTCCCTTCCCCTAGCAGGCAGCACATTGTCCTGCAGACACTCTGCACGCAGTCATCTATTCCTTCTGCCAACCTGTGGTGCTCCGACCTCTCCTCCCTCCCCTGCAGTCTCCCATGGCTCCTCAGTGCCCTCGCAAGAACCCATGTATTGTGTATGGCCCAACACAGCGCTGGCAATGGTCTCACTTGTCTCTCTCCTGCCCTATGAGAGTGTGCCCAGCTTGGGTTCCTTGCATTTCCTTGAAGATGCCCTTTCTCCACCTGGAACACCAACCCCTTATGTACCTTTTGCTCAACGTTCTGTGTGCTCTCAGGGCTACACTCTGGCCCCAAATAGCCAAGTCTGACTCCTGTCCCCCATCTTGAATCTACCCTCTAGGCAGGGGTCTGTTGGACAGTGGGCTGGATACAGGGCAGAGTGGATACTGTATGCTGGGCACATGGAGACCTGGTGTGGGAAACACCTGCACAGCAGGCCTGGGGGTCCTGGTATCCCACAGGCACCTTTGCTTTTTCCTTCACCAAAACGATGCTGTCTGGTCACCTGCACTGGCTCACTGTCTGCCTGAAAGACACCCTTGGCCCTCTCCTCTGCCTAATGGCTTAGCTCCTCTTTTGCCTGATACTCTTTCAGCTGAACCTTTAGAACCTTTTCATCCTGCTTTTCAGAACTGGCCACCTGGTACTGATGGGTAGCAGTGAACTCATAAACTAATTCCGGAATTACTTGCAGGGAATATTCCAGCCCGGCACACTGAACTCTTCCTGCTTCCTTTCAGGTCTCTCAGGGAAACTTTACAGAGTTCTCCGTAATGATCCTCGATTTTTCTTGTAAATTCATTCCTAGGGATTCCTCGTGGGGGCTGGTTGCTATTGTTTTATGGTTGTCGTTGAATAGGGACCGTTTATTTCATTATGTGTTCTGACTGCTTGTTCTCGACACAGATGAAAATTATTGATTTGTATGATGTTGGTTTTATATCCAGCCCAGTACCTTCATATTAAATTCTCATATTAAATTATTTTTCAGTTGGTTCTCTTGGGTCTCAAATCATCCTGACTGCAAATAATTACAATTCTTTCCTGGAGACACACCATTTAATTCTGTTTCGTGTCTTATTGCTATGTCCAGAATTCCTGAACCTTATAAAAGCACTGTTTTTTTTTAATAAAAGTTTTTGAATGGAAATCATTAAAAATATTATCACTTAGACAGTAGAAAAGTATGAAGATGAAATATAGGAAGTAAAGCCATGTTGTTATGTTGAGCTGTGGGGGACTCACGTCAATAATTTCTGACATTGCCAATTAAACAGAAGACTCAATGCTATTATGGGCTTCTGTACTCTTTTAGAATATTTTGCTGAGTTTACACACCTATAATATTCAACAACGGAACTTAAAAAAAATTGGGGTATAACTATGAATGTCCATTTTGTATCTGTGTATTCAAAGTGGTTGGGATAGATATATAGTTGCATTCTCTTAATGAATAGAATGAATTTTTCTAATGGTGTTTGTAAGTAGGATCACAAGTCTGCATCTTGTATAGCAATTAACCACTAAGAAGAATATATGCAGTGTATTATTTGTTGAAACTGTACTTCCGATTTGATTTGAAACTGTCTCATTGCTATATGTTTATCAATAAAACTTTGAAAAGAAAAAAAAATATTATCACTTAGAATGATGCTGACTACTGAAAGGAGACAGATTTTTCACTGCGACAGGAATGTGACTTTCTAAGTCTACTTGCTGCACTTATCTTAAAATCAGAAATTGATATTAGGGGGCGGGGGAGCTGGCTTAGTGGAATAAGCGCTTCCCTGGCAAGCGCGAGGGCATGAGTTCAATCCCCGGTTCCGGGAAAAAAAAAGAAAAGAAATTGATATTGGGTTTTATTGAATACCTATTTTCACTTATTAACAGAGCTTTCTTGCTGACCTGCTGAAGCTGTGTATTATATTAACAGATTTGTCTAACATTAAGCCATCTTTTAATTCTTTGTATAAATCCTATATAATCACGTCAGATCCTCTCTAACATTCTGTGGACTTCAATTTGGCTGAGGATTTTTTATCCAGTATTAATGGGTGAGATGAGAGTGGGCTTCATTTCCTGGATATCTGTGGTAGTTTAGGAAATTGGTTTACTTGTTCCTACAGACAGTGGCCACCAGGTCACCTGAGAAGTGCTCTGGAAGGGGACACCCTGGTCCCAGGCTTGGGATCGCTTTGCAACTGTTCCAAGAACCTCAGGGAGAAGCACTGTGAATAAACCACCATTCCTCCAGGGGAGAGTCACCCATCTGTCTGTGTGCTCATAAACCACCATTCCTCCAGGGGAGAGTCACCCATCTGTCTGTGTGCCTGCCCAGGGGACTTGTGGGTTCAGCTCAAGGTGGGAAAGGCTCGAAACAGTTCCAAAAGTACCTAGTCTGGTGGATTCTGAGAACCCAGGCATTCAGGAGGGGCTATGGGGGTAGGGCTGTGAGGCCTCATGGCGGAGGCCTGGAGACCACCGAGGTGGGGCCCACTGATCTATATGTGCACAGGTGTGACACAGAAATGGCAGAATAGGGAACCATTGGTCCCTTCTGACTACAAGAAAGATGCTTCCCTGCAGGGACCAGCACCAGCCCAGCTGTCTCCACAGAGCCTACTTCTGAAAGACGGAGCTAACCTGCCCTCCCACTGTGCATCTATCCAGGGGTCATGATACACACAACCAGAGCAGGGGTCCCCCTCAACACCCTAGAACCCAGGCCTGGATCTGCCAGGGCTGAGGCAGAACCCTGTCCATTTCATAGCCCAAAGATACTATGGACAACAAAGAACCCAGCTACGAGATGCTCAGGTGGTCAAGGGAACTGAAGGACACGACACCATCTAGAAAGAAGCCCACAGCACCCAGCAGGAGGGACAAGCTGAGAAGACACCTCACTCTCCCCAGTGCCCACGGCACACAAGGACAGATCTGGGGACTCTTATGAGATGAGAGGCAGATGACACACTGAATGCTACAAGGGGCCCTGTGTCCCTCAAGTTCCCTTGTCCCCATTGGCAAGGGGCAAGCATGGCACTCAATATGGGCCTGGAGGACAAAAGAAGGGGCCATGTAGGCATTGGTCACCCTTACTGTAGGTCTGTGGGCCACAGGTGCCCATATGTCCAGGGGGAACAAGGGTGGAGAGCTGAGGACCCAGCCCAGGGGGAGTGGGGCCAGGGACTGGGAGATGGCAGAAGGTACCTCCTAACCTGGCAGTCCAGGGCCATTCCCAGGGGTCCCTGCTCTCAGACTCAGGTCCTAAGGCTCAGCCCCTCTTAGGGCTGAAGCAAAGAGAGGGCCAGGCTCTTCCTTGGCGCTGGAAACATCAGGGCCTAAAGTAATGCCAACCCCAGAATAAAGGCCCCACCCCTCACTTCCAGCTGTTCCAGGGAGCAAGCACTGGACTGTGTCAAGGGGAGATCTTGGCTGGCAGCTGGGACCTATTTTTTTTTTTTTTTTGCCTTGGCCCCTTGGTGTCCGCTCCCTTGGGTGAATGTCTGTGGTAAGCGGGGCACTCAAGGTTGGCACAGAAGGTATGTCATCTTGCATGACCCGCTCTGAGCTCCTGTCTCCTTGTCCATCAGGTAGCACTGAGTAAACAAAACGACAAGGGGGCTGCTGTGGTAGCACAGGCCTGTGACTGCAGCGATGCACGAGGCTAAGACGGGAAGACTGCAAGCTCAAGCCCAGCCTGGGCAGATTAGCAAATGCTTGTCTCAATGTAAAAAGTAAAACAGGGCTGGGGCTGCAGCTCAGTGGGAACCCCAGGCACAACCTTCAGGGCCTCAGAAAAACAATGTGCTGTATAAGAAGAGATTACACGCACCCCTGTATCAACCACTTCAGGTTACAGAGCAGAGAAGCCATGCCATAAGGCGGAGAGTGGCTGGGGGTGTGGCTGCATCTGTGTGGCGCAGGTGTGAGTTGTGCCCCAGCCTCCGCCTGCCCTCCCTGCTCCCAACTCATACGCACAAGCATGCGCATCACAGCATAAGTGTCTCTGACAGGGTTTAAGCCCAGGGGCCCTGAACTGAACTACCTCTCATTCCCACGCCTTTTTTTTTTCTGAGATTCTTACTAAGTTGCCCAGACTGGGCTCAAGCTTGCAATCTCCTGCCTCAGCCTCCCAGAAAGCTGGTATTGCAGGCAGGTGTGAGCCACCACACTCCTTGCTGAGTGTCTCATTCCTTTGTCGCAGCAGCAGAGCCCGACAGCCGGAGCAGCTGGAGGGTGTTCCATTTTAGGCGCACTGACAAGGTTGGAAACCACCCAAGTGGGGTGCGAGCGCTTCCTCTCAGGTTGCGGTGTCCTGACTTAGGAAACGAGGCCGCACACTCTAGTTCACACCAGATTCCCCTGCCCCCATGCTGCCTCATAAGCCCGTCTGTCCTCCTCAGCCTGCTTGCCGTCTGTCTGGCTGCAGGAGAGCGGAGACACACAGCTGTCCCAGCAGAGCACGTGGCCAGGTTCTCCTCTCCTCCCCACCAGTGCTGCTGGGTCCTCAGTTGCTCCCTGGGCTTTCTCACCATCTCCCCAGGTGCCCCCACCACATGCCCAGGACCCCAGCTCCACCCAGCCTCAGGCCCTGCGTGCTTCCAAGCAGCGCCACAGCCTCCTCCATACCTTCCCAGGGCCTCGCCAGCCTAGGAAGACACAGTGCAGGCAGATGTCACCACGGCGGGGCCATTATCCAGGGCCAAAGGCAGCAAGGAAGAGGGCTGGATCAGCATGAGGCCACTGACAGCTCCAACAGACACCTACGGCCAGAGGGGATGGTGTGAGTAGAGAGGTCACTGGCCTCAGCCTGAAGCCACGGTGTGCAGGAAGCGCTGGCTGGATGCGCTTATCCTCCCATGTGCTTAGATAGGACTTCCGGGGAGTTTTACACTGGAGTCTCTGGATGGGCTCGGGCACCCAGAGGAGGCTCTGGCTAGGTTTGTGGGCTCTGTCCTTGCCTAGTCTCACCATAAGCTAAAGTCTGACAAACTCAAGAGTCTGCAGCAGTCACAGCCAAGACTCCAGTGTCCCACCCTCCAGCTCGCGCCCACCTCACTGAGCTCCACGGAGCAAAGCCCAGGTCCACGAAGAGCTGGCAGAGAAACGTGGGTCCTCCCCACCCACAAGGGAAAGAAAAAGGCAGGCATGGGCCCAACCCGGCAGGGCTGTGTCAGGCAGCGGGGAAGAGGCAGTGCTCTGGCTCCGGCCAGACTCTTGGTGCCGGGCTGGGGAGACAACAGAAGCAAGCGCTGTGTGCCACACACTGCTCTCAAAGCCGCGAGTCTGCTCATGCACTTCGTTATCCCTTGCGATGCTGATGCTTCCGTTCCCATTATCTTGGCGCAGAGACCCAAGGGCTTCCCTGGGCGCCCACCAGTTTGAGCCCAGATAGTGTGACCAGAGCTCATGAACAACCTCACGTCACAGGCGTGCAGGCCAGTAGGGTGTATTCCAGGGTGTGCATGACCAGGAGGAAGGGGTGTGGCCAGCCCAGTGCAGCAGAGGCCCGTCACCAACTTCTGGCAGTCACTGACTTCTCTGACCATGAGGAGTTTAACCCAAACAGCTGGGCAACATCAACAAAGGGAAAGATTGTGTGGGTCTGGGTGCATCACAGGAGAAGTGTGCAGGGTGTGCCTGGAGGCCCCACTGTGACAATGCAGAAGCGACCAAGCACCTGAGGCATAAGCACCACAGAATATTATACAGCAGCAAAGAAGAACCAGTCACCTACCCCTGTGGAGTACTGGCCAGGAGTGGAAAGGAATTAGCCACCAGCCAAGCAGCAACCCCCAGCACCTGCCCCCATGTCCCCTCTAGAGCTGCAGGCCTCACCAGCATTTGTGCTGAAGTTCGTGTGAACACAGTAAAAGCACACACATGCATGAGAATAACAATCAGCACATGGAGGAGGAAGCAGGGTGAGAAAGCTCGGGCCACCCGGTCCCCGCCTGCGGGTACACTTTGCACAACCAAACTGTCCCCACAATGCGGAGACAGTAAAAGCCCACATGTACTTGACCACAACTGACAAGTGAAGGAAAAGCAGGCAGGAAGATGGGATGTGGGGGCTCAGGGAGTTCCCAGCACATGATTTCATTTCCAGCCAGGAGGGGTGAGTGCTCAGGTATTCATCATAATATTCTTTATATCTTTGGTTGTATTCAATATTTTATAATTACTGAAATATTTATTAGGGATTTCTTAAATATTTGAGATGTCTTGAATATTTTATAATAAATTTTAGAGTGTTTTGTAAAGAGACTGCCGTTTCTCAGGACTGAGCTCCCTGTCAGTGCTGGTATGCAAGAGTGGGTAGGGTACCACAGGGCTGGCTCCTAAGTGGTTCTGTCTGGACCCAGCCATGAGCATCTCAGCACCAAGCTCTAAGTCCCAGTAGAGGGGCCTGGCCCAGAGGCCGAGGCAGGGTGTCTTGGGGAGGCAGGCGGTCTCTGGGGAAACCAAGGCAGGCACCAGAAGCCGGCAGCCCGCCTCATGCCTAGAGGATGGGGACACAGAAGTCAGCACCATCACAAAGACAGACAAGGGCTGGACACAAGCAGCGGTCCCTGGTGGCCTCTGAGTGACCACTCACCCTGGCTATGATGCTTCGTGTCATAGTTGGTGCCCTGTTCTGCTCTCAGGCATGGACTCCTTTGGGCACTGGTGATCCGTGTGGTGGCCCGGAAATACACCCACGTTTCCTTGGGCTTTGTGACTTCCACAGAAGCTACAGTCAGGCCCTGGGAAGGGACCAGTCTTGCATTCACAGCCAAGGGCACGACAGGAATGGAAGCATTCTCCTGTCATCACCGCCTTGAAGGGAGTGGCATTTCCACTCCTTGTCAAGTGGCGATGCAGACAGGATGGCAGGAGCAGGAGCAGCCACTTTGTCCCCAAAGAAACAAACCACAGTCGACGGTTCCAGAGCTGTCCCACCAGCCCACGCTTCTGACCTCCGTGCTGTCTTGCAAACAAAGGATGAATGTCTCATTGAAACTTCCACATTCCTGGAAGACTTTGCCTCAACAGCTTGGCTCAGGACAGAGGAGAGGGCTCACTGAGAGAGCAGATTCCAAGTGGGGCTCAGCGAGGTCTGGAGACAGGGAGACACAGCTAGGAGCCCACTGCTGTCCCCGCCACAGCCCCTCATACACTTGTAGCTTCGTGAAGGCCGCCTTGGAGCTCAGCTCTCCATCTCTGCCTGCTCACCTGGGACCCGGAGCCCCAGGGTAGGCTGAAGCAGTCTGGACTGCGGCTCTGCAGTGCATGCAGAGCGCTTGGGGCCAGGACAGGCGACAGCATCTCCCTGCTATGCCCCCCACCATGGCACTGACTTCACTGTCAGGGTGTAGAGCGGCAACGCCTGTGGCCTCAGGCTCAGGTTGGGCATGCACGGTGGGGTCCGCAGGCAGTAACAGAGCCGTGCTTCCTCCACTCTCTTGCGCTTCCTGCACTCTCTCCTGCTCCCTCTGGAGGCTCTGGCAGGAAACAGGGAAGCAGCCCCAAGAGCCCTGGGCCCTGTCTCCCAGCATCACATCACCACCATGAACCAGCCCTCCGAGACAGCTCCACGGAGGCCCAGCCTCTCCTCTCCTCTTCAGAATCCTCCCCGTCCCGTTACCCCACGGCTGCCATCACGCCAGCCAGTTTCAGCCTCTCCCCCCAGCCCCATGCTCCTGACCCACTTTGGCTGTTGGATTCCAGCCCATGGGTAGGGCTGCATAGGGCAGCCTGGCTGTGAGTCACGGCTGAGCATGATGGGGGCAAAGTGACAGAGTGCACGGGTTCATCAGGCACAAGGCAAGTAAAGGAATGTGTGAGCCCAAGTGTGCTCATACGCAGATGCAGCTGGGCCAGCCAGGCAGTGTGCACACACAGACAGGCCCACAGATGCTCCGGAAAGCAAAGAGGGCTGCAGGGAGGAGACAGCACTGGCTCGCTGGACCTGAGACTGCAAACTCAGTGAGGCGTTACTTCTGCAAAGCCCCACATGCTCCGCTCACCATCTCTTCTTCCTGCCTCAGATACAGATGAAATAGCTAGAGGTGCAGCCGGCATCGTGAGACCACGAGGACAATCGCTAAGGAAGACAGTCGGAAGCTACAAGGACACCGGACCATTGATGACTGTCCTGAGCGTGTGCCTGTGATTGCCACCTGCTGTACATGAGAAAGACGGCCCCACACACGGAGCTCAACCACACCCATGTGGGGCTCCTGCCTTATAAGGGCAGCCAACTTCAACCCTTAAGTGACACAGCATAAAATAATGCTGAGCCACTTTATTAGAAAGCTGCTCTCCATTTAATTCTCTTTCCAGCTTCTGATTGCATCACAGTCTAAGATTGGGGTTGGTAGGTCTTGAACACCTCCACACACTTGCTATTCTCTCTCTTTTTTTTTTTTAATAAAACAATAGTAGGCCTTGGGCTCTGAGCCTCCCCCGGGGCTACAGCATCCAACTAGAATTTAATAACATTGTTTTCTTTCCACTGAATTTATTTTTATGATTATGAATTCTATTTATGGCAAGGGAAACTTGTTTCCCATTTGTGTAGTGCTATAAAGCTTCCTCTTAAATAAATGTATTTAAGTTTTTTAAAAGTGCATTGATTTAGAGAGAAGCAGTAAAAAGTTGGGGAGGTGGGGTCCGAGGAGGGGGGCGGCCACCGCCAGCAGGAGGGCAGATGGAGGTCCCAGAATCTGTGTGGGCTTACAGACTACGGTGTGGCACCGTGTGTGGGGGGCCAAGGAGTCCTGGTCACCAAACCACGGATTCAAAGTCCTAGGTTGCTGCAGCCCAGTGTGCAGTGACTTCAGAAGCTAGGCTCCCAAGCCTCTGTGACCTTTCACTAATTAGCCGGCTCCTCACTCTGCAGCCACCAGCTGATCTGGGGCAAAGGCTCGACAGGCCAGCAGAGGCCGCCTGTCACTCCATGGCAGATAAGTGACCGCATCCTGGGAGGTGCGGAGGGACCCAGCACTCAGGGGAGGTGATAGGGCCCAGGATCTGCCAGGTGGCTCCAGGCAAGTCACCAGGATACCACCCAGCTCACAGCTGCTGTCCCCAGACCCTCGCTTGGGACAGCACCAAGCCAAATCTGAAGGAAGGCAGGGGGATCTAAGCTCATTGCCACACACTCTGAGACACCTAGCTCCCCATCAGCCTCCAAGCCAGGCTCCACCTTGTGTGGTTCTGTCCCTGGTATTGGACACAGTGTCCACTCAAGGTCATTGGGGATTGGGGTTTGAGGAACATAAGAGGTTCCCTTCCATACGTGTGTGTGTGTGTGTGTGTGTGTGTGTGCACGTGCATGTGTGTGACGGGCACTGAACCCAGGGCCCTTACACTGAGCTATATCCCCAGCACTTTTTATCTGTTTAATTTGAGACAGGGTTTCACTAAGTAGCCCAAGTAGGGCTTAAACTCCTGCTCCTCCTGCCTCAGCCTCCCAGAGTGCTGGGATTGCCAATATGCCCTACCTCACCCTGCTTCCTTTGCAGTTTCGTAATCACTGCTTGGCTAAAGGCAACCTCTCGAGAGGCGCAGCAGCGCCTGGCTGTAGGAAGAAGGCAGGAACAGAAGGAGGTGAGAACATCAACGCATAGATCACAAAGTGACTGTATCTCAGAGGGACTCGGGAGACAATACATCCCGTCCCCAGGTTCCCGAAGGAGGCCTGGCGGATGCACAAGCTCCTGTAGATCCTGCAGGAGCCACCAGGGCCATCTGCTTTGCCACCTGCCTCTTAGGTAGG